GACTCAGTCTCTCTGATACCTCTTCCTCCTCTCCTTCAAATGCCCTCACCCCTCTACTCCAGATAGAGTGTGGGCATTATGAGGAGTAGAAGCAGGATCCAACTGTCAGGGCTCACTCCAAGTGTTGGCTGGATCTGGGTGGTCTGGGGTCAAGTTGCGTATCAGGGAAGGGCACCAGCTCCAGGGTCAGAGAAGCCCAGACCTCCAACAGGAGAGACTCTCCCACCACACACGTTCTGCTAGCATCTTGTCTGAATCCCTCAGAGCATAGACTTTGGAACTCAGGCTGAGGCATGCAACTGACCCCTTCCTGAACCCTGGCCCACTAGCCCGCAGCTATGACTTTGGCCAAGGTACCCCTGAGGCTCAGTTTCCTTATTCAGATGGATACCTACCTCCAGGGGCCATGGTGAAAACTCATAGAGGTGACCTGAGAGGTGCTAAGGCAGTGCTGGAAGCAGTCAGAAGCCAGTGGATACTGCTCCCCAGGGGGAAGGGGGGCAGCCCTGCAGCCCTGGGTCAGTGTTACTCTTGCACCAGTCTGCCACCCCCAGCTGGGAGCGCCTGGAGGCAAGAGTTTGTGTTAAATATCAGCTCCTCACTCAGTAGCTATGGCAAATGGCTTAACCTTTCTGAGCCTCACTGTTCTTATAATAAAGTGGGAATAATGAAATGTGCCTCATATTGGCGGTATGAGTAAAATTATTAACAGTAGTTATTTTGGGGTAAGGGCATTGTGAAAATATGTTATGTTTTATGCATATGGGCTTTTGCTGTTTTTTCTACAACAAATAGGAATTTAAAAAACATGAATTATTTATGTATTTTAAGTCATTTCAAAACATGCCTTTTCTAAAAAAAAAAACTTAAATTTACTGAGTGCTCACTACATTTTTGGCATTGCTCTGAGCACTTTATTTTTTGATATTTATTTTTTAATGTTTGTTTGTTTGTTTATTTATTTATTTATTTTGAGAGAGAGGGAGAGAGAGAGAGAATCCCAAGCAGGCTCTGAGCTGTCAGCACAGATCCTAATGTGACGGTGAGTTCATGACCTGAGCCTAAATCAAGAGTCAGATGCTTATCCAACTGAGCCACCCAGGTGCCCCTGCTCTGAGCCCTTTATATTACATTATCTCATTTAATTCTCCCAACAGTTGAGGCACCTGGGTGGCTCAGTCTGTTAAGCGTCTGACTTCAGCTTAGGTCATGATCTTGCTGTTCCTGAATTTGAGCCCTGTGTCAGGCTCTGTGCTGACAGCTCAGAGCCTGGAGCCTGTTTCAGATTCTGTGTCTCCCTCTCTCTTGGCCCCCCCTGCACTCGCACTCTGTCTCTCTCAAAATTAAACTTAAAAAAAAAATTTAGTTCTCACAACAGTCCTCTGAGGAAGATAGTATATTCATCCCCAGTTTAGAGACAAGAAAACCAATGTGTTTTTTTTTTATTTTACTTTATTTTTTTTTTAATTTACATCCAAATTAGGTAGCATATAGTGCAACAATGATTTCAGGAGTAGATTTCTCAATGCCCCTTACCCATTTAGCCCATCCCATCTCCCACAACGCCTCCAGTAACCTTCTGTTTGTTCTCCATATTAAAGAGTCTCTTATGCTTTGTCCCCCTCCCTGTTTTTATATTATTTTTGTTTCCCTTACCTTAGGTTCATCTGTTTTGTCTCTTAAAGTCCTCATATGAGTGAAGCCATATGATTTTTGTCTTTCTCTGACTAATTTCACTTAGCATTATACCTTCCAGTTCCATCCACATAGTTGCAAATGGCAAGATTTCACTCTTTTTGATTGCCGAGTAATACTCCATTGTATAGATATACCACTTCTTCTTCATCCATTCATCCATTGATGAACATTTGGGCTCTTTCCATACGTTGGCTATTGTTGATAGTGCTGCTATAAACATTGGGGTGTATATGTCCCTTCGAAATAGCACACCTGTATCCCGTAGATAAATACCCAGTAGTGCAATTTGCTGAGTTGTAGGGTAGTTCTATTTTTAATTTTTGGGGTAACCTCCAAATTACATATTAGGTCCCTTGCACTCCCACCAACAGTGCAAAAGAGATTGTCTTTCTCCGCATCCTCGCCAACATCTCTTGTTGCCTGAGTTGTTAATGTTAGACATTCTGACAGATGTAAGGTGGTATCTCATTGTGGTTTTGATTTGTATTTCTCTGATGATGAGTGATGTTGAGCATTTTTTCATGTGTCGGCTGGCCATCTGGATGTCTTCTTTGGAGAAGTGTCTATTCATGTCTTTTGCCCATTTCTTCACTGGATTATTTGTTTTTTGGGTGTTGAGTTTGATAAGTTCTTTATAGATTTTGGATACTAACCCTTTATCTGATATGTCATTTGCAAATATCTTCTCCCATTCTGTTCATTGCCTTTTAGTTTTGCTGATTGTTTCCTTCGCTGTGAAGAAGTTTTTTATTTTGATGAGGTCCCAGTAGTTCAAGAAAACCAATGTGTAAGGAAGTTGAGCAACTTGCCCCACTTGTTGTGAGTGAATCTATACATGTGATACACTTTCATAAAACTATAATGGATACATACATACATGGATGTATACATACACATGGATATACACATAGACAAATGAATGCATGTAGAAACAAGTGGAATCTGAATAAAGCCTGCAGTCTAGCTAACAGTATTGTACCTATGTCATTTTCCTGATTTTGATATTGTGCTATCTTTACGTAAGATATTACCATTGGGGAAAGCTGGGTGAGGTCCAGCTGGAGACCTCTCTGTAGCTTTTTTTTTTCCTGCAACTTCTTCATTTCTTATTCTATAGACTCTGATAAATATATAGTCAAAAATTTAAAAAGTTCTTAAAAACTAAAAGTTTTTTTTAAAGCTTATTGTAAGGATTACATGAGATAATGTGCCTAGAACACAGGGTTGGATTCAATTGACATTTCAATATATATTTTTGGGGCGCCTGGGTGGCTCAGTCGGTTGAGCGCCGACTTTGGCTCAGGTCACGATCTCGCTGTCCGTGAGTTCGAGCCCCGCATTGGGCCCCTGTGCTGACAGCTCAGAGCCCGGAGCCTGTTTCAGATTCTGTGTGTCTCCCTCTCTCTGACCCTCCCCCGTTCATGCTCTGCCTCTCTCTGTCTCAAAAATAAATAAACGTTAAAAAAATATATATATATATATATGTGTGTGTATATATATATATATATATATATATATTTTTTTTTTTTTTTTCCTTTCTTCCCCACTCTGGGAGTGACTATTTTCACAGATGGCCTCCATATAGTGTGTTCTATGTGCTAGGCTTAATTTCCATGCATTGTTTCACTTAATAAAACCTAAAAGGCATGGGTCCTTTTATTTATTCCCCATTTGCTCATAGGAAAACTAAGGTTCTGCAGTGACAAATCTCTTCTCCACTTGTTAGAAAGTGACCAAGCCTGGATTTACACCAAGGCAGTCTGTTGATGACACCACTCCATCCCCTCCAGGTTCAGCTCAGAGTATTGCATAAAGGTATGCTTTGAACCTTGGAAATCATCTACCCCAACTGTCTCAGTTTATACAAAGAAAACACGCTAGAAAGGTGAATGGCTTTGGTCAAGAACACCTAATAAATCTGTGACTGAGCCAGGATGAGAACCCAGTGTTTGGATTCCTGGATCAGGGTATTTTCCAGTGCCCACAGGCAAGGCTGCTCACCCATATAGCATACTTCCTCTGAACCCTGCCTTGGAGACAACTGGTGCCCACAGATAGACCTGCGGGTTCTCACTCACATCCCTCACCCACCCGCACAGCTCAGGCCACTCAGGACCCAAAGGTAGGAGTGGGGCCCTGGGAGAGTGGAGGCATGGTGACCCTCTACTGCAGGCAGCCTTGAGAAGTAGGGTAGTTAGGGTCACAGAGAAGGCAAGGGCAGACCCTCTGAACTTTGGCAGGAATGGGGGTGGGAAAGGAGGCTATGTGCAAGAGGTCCCTGTTCCTGTCCCCCCTCAGGCTCTCCTGAGTCACTTGCTCTGAGGTTGGGGCACATTCTTGAAGGGGATGGTCACAGGGATTCCAGGCCCTCTCAGGCCCTAGGCCAGTTTCTATTCTTCCTGGGGCTGAAACCAACTCCCACCTCAGACTCAGCACCCGGTTTCCACATGGTAATATAATGACTCACTCCATTCCTATCTTGGGACCTCCTTGGACTTGGGGCAAATCGCTCCAAGTCCAGACCTGGGGTTGGTGGGAAGGGTCATCAGCCCAAGTCCCATTTCCCAGGGAGGAGGGGTGTCCCATGTATCTAGTGGAGGGTTTGACCCACGTTCAAAAGAGCACGATTGGCCCTCTTTCTCCATCCTTGTTGCGCGGCTCCCACATCCCATCCCGCCGGGCCAATCCAGGGAATTTTGGAGCATTAAGGACCCCTCCCTTTCCTCTTGTCACCTCATCGCCCTGGCAAGTCCACTGGGGAAGCAAACCCTGCAGCCTAGTGGACCAAGCGATCCTGTCCGCGGGGAGCAGCGCCCTCGTGTGGCCTCCAGGAGAAACGCGTTTATTTCCCAGCACCCTCCCCCCAAATCCCCCTCCCCACCCCCGCCCCTTTCTATGCTCTCATTGAACAAGAATTTATTGAGTGCCGTTAGGTACCTGCTCTGGGGGCCCCGGGGAAGAAGATAGGTAAAATACCTGCTCTGTGAACGGTACATTCCAGTGTGTGTGTAGGTGTGGGGGGGGGGGGGGGGAGGTGCAGGCAATTATACGACAAATACACGAGGCAGATACTAGCAGTGATAACTGTTAGAAAGAAAATGAAACTGAGAAATGTGATGGAAAAACAGGGCTGGATGGAAAAAAAGAAAAAGGTCTCCTTGAATGGGTAACGTCTAAGATGACACTTAGGTGACAGGGATCCAGTCATGTAACCATCTGGAAGGAAAACTTCCCTTGCAGAGATGAGAACTAGAAGACACCCAGGCAGGAACAGGCTTTACATAATAGACAAAGACCAGGACAGCTAGAAAGGAATCAGCAAGAGAGAATGGTACGAGATGTGGTCATGGAGGTAGGCTAGGGCCAGACTACAGATTTTATAGGTCATGACGGAGTTTGATTTTTCTTCTAGAAGTAATGGGAATGTATTGGGTGAGGTTTGAGAAGAGTAACATAGCTTGATTACCTTTTAAAACAATTCCTATGGCTGCTGTGCAGAGAATGAACTTCGGCCAAGGAAGAGTGGAGGCAGGGGGATTATTGCAAGAGATTAAAAGCTATAGAGATAATTCAGGTGACACATGGTGGTGGCTTGGAACAGGGCAGAAGTGGAGGATGTGGGAGATGTGGTTGGATGCTGGGTTTACTTTGAAGGAAGAGCCAAGAGGAGTTGCTAATAGACCACATTTTCTTCTGCTCCTTTGGCCCTGGGAACTCCATACACACACTCTAGTTGGCTCCTCTATCCTCACTGGGGGTCTGGGTTACAGAGGCAGACCCCAGGGACCCAGCTAAATTGCAAAGTTTCCAGGATCAAACAAAGGAATTTAAGACTCAGGCGTTGTGTTCTCCATGAACTGTCTCCACTTTCCATTATTAGCCCATTTAATGGGAGGGGACTCTGCCTGTTGTCTCCCTTACTCGATCTAGCCTGGCTTCTATACCCCTAGTTACTCATTAAGACATTTGTTTATCCAAATAGGGGCCCTTAGGGTGTATTGGTGACACCCAAAACAGTCCTGGGGGTGGTGGTGTTTGTATCTGATACAGAGTAGGGGGCAGGATCATCTGATGGTCTCAGTCTTCAGACCCAGGCCAGTGACTTACTCATGTTAATTTACACAAAACACAGTGGGGTCAGACCTGATCCCACAGAAAATGCACACAACATTTTTGCCCCAGGCTGGGCATTTCTTTAGAGCCTGGGAAAGATCAGGCTAGCCTTACAAACATTCTCGGGCAGCAAAGGCTGGGGAAAGCAAGCAAGAAAGGGGATTACCCAGTTGGCTCTGGAGCCAGCAGGCCCTGCTCTGTTTGTGTTGCGCTGCATGGAGGGTGGGGGTGCATTATAAATGCAGCCAGCCAGAGGGCCCCTGGCTCAAAACCTAGGACTCAAAACCTAGGACTGCACCATCCCTGGGAGTCTGTGCAAGCCTCCCCAAGATGAAGCTGCCAGGCCAGGAAGAGTTTGAAGTCTCCAGTGCTTGTGAAAATGTGCCCACAGGAGAGCTGGAGAATGGCCCTGGCTCTTGCCCCAGCCCTGACGGCACCTCAGACACAGACAGAGGGGATCGGGGGGTACCCACGGACCCTCTGCTCTTCATTCAGCTGAATGAACTTCTGGGCTGGCCCCAGGCACTGGAGTGGAGAGAGACAGGCAGGTGAGTGGGACCCAGGGCAATTTTATGGGGTCTTGCCCCTTCCCCAGCTGGTGACTCCTCCTGTTTGGGGAGATGCTCTGCCCCAATTAAGAGTTCCTCTCTGTGCTCTCCAATTCAGGCCCTCACCCTCCATGATGCTCAGTTTTCTCTGCAGTCTACTTTTGAGTTCCCCAAGACCCCAGATGAGGGGTGAATGTCCAGGAAGGGGCATGCTATGCACCACTGGGCCCAGCCTCCCCCCCCCCCCCCCCATTGCTCTACTTTCCCTGGCTCTCCTGTGTTCCCACAACCTGGACCTGGGAGAGATGGCCCCAATAACACAGTCTATTCCTCTCCACCACAGGTGGGTGCTGTTTGAGGAGAAGCTGGAGGTGGGTGCAGGCCGGTGGAGTGTCCCTCACGTGCCCACCCTGGCACTGCCCAGCCTTCAGAAGCTCCGCAGCCTACTGGCCGAGGGCCTTGTGCTCCTGGACTGTCCAGCTCAGAGCTTCCTGGAGCTCGTGGGTATGCTGGGAGCCTGTACAGGGAGGGCCTAAGTAGCTATGCCATTTCCCTAAGACTTCCCCCCAAAGCCTTGGAACTTTCCAGAGCTCACCCCACTGCACCCTAGGGATTATCCATCCCTGTCACAGGGAGGAGATGGAAAAGCAGAATGGAGGAGCAACTTTCCTGAGATTCCCAGAAGGGAAAGGGAGCCAGGCAGAGGGGAAAGGGGAAGAGTGTGGGGACAGGGAGCTCTCAGGAGAGGGTTGAAGGCCCATCTCTATTCTTTAGAACAGGTGACAAGAGTGGAGTCGCTGAGCCCAGAGCTGAGAGGGCAGCTGCAGGCCTTGCTGCTGCAGAGACCCCAGCATCTCATCCAGCCCACAGGCACCAGGCCCTGCCAGGGTGAGAGGCCCCTCCCTGGGCCCAGGACCAAAAGCCCTGGGTGGGAGGGTCCCAGATCCCCCCTGCGCTTCTTGGACTAAGAGCAGCCTAACCTTGGCTCAGACCTCTCACCCCGGGGCCTCAACCCAGGCCTCATGGGTGAGAAGTGGAGGTAACGGTGAGGGGAGAAGAATGGAGGGGCCAGAGTTTTGTGAAGGGACGCTCTTGACAGGCACCGTGCCAGGAGCTTTACATGCAGTATATTCTCGTTTCATCTTCACAACCATCCGGTGAGGCAGTACCACAATTAGCCCCATTTTAGTGATGAGAAAACTGAAGCTCAATGAGGGGAACTCTAGTTTTCATAGTTTATCACAGGTAAACCTGGTCAGGGAGCCCTGGTGTGTCCACCTCCAAAGCCTGTACTCTTACTCTCTGCCTGATCGTGTTTCGAAGGGTCTGCTCATCCAAGAGAGGCTTCTCACAGTGAGGAAGCCCCGCTGAAGGAACAGGTTTGTGGTCCTTCCTTGGGCAGGGCTGGGAGAGGAGTCAGTCCTCAATATTAATCAGTACCCTACCAAAATCTGCCTTCCCACGTAACCACTCATCCATGTGTCTCCTTGAACCCCCCATCCAGCGTCAGAACCCTCTGAGACGGAAACTGCCTCCAGGGGCTGAGGCAGGGGCTGTGCTGGCCGGAGAGTTGGGCTTCCTGGTACGGCCCCTGGGGGCCTTTGTACGACTGCGGGATCCAGTGGTGTTGGGGCCCCTCACTGAGGTGCCCCTTCCCAGCAGGTGAGGCTGTGGGGAGTCGGGGGTCCTGGAGCCCAGAAGGATCTCTACTGGGGAGGGGGTTGAGAAGTCTCTGGTTCAGTTCTCTGAGGGGGCGTGAGTGGGGGGGATGGTGCTCAGGGGTCTGGGGAGGGGGTGGTGGTCAGGGCTGCAAAGTAGGTGTGAACATGATGAGCGTATGAATGGGGGCTGGTAGGAAGGTCAGAGGTCAGGGCTGCCTTGTGGGATAGCAGTCTCTTATTTTCTCTGGGGCCTGGTTCCTCCCTCAGGTTTTTCTGCCTCCTCCTTGGTCCCTCCACACTGGGAAGGGGCTATCATGAGATGGGCCGGGCCATGGCCGTCCTCCTCAGTGACCGGGTGAGCTGGGCAGGCAAGCACGTGCGTGTGTGAGTGTGTGCACGCACACGCCCTTTTGCCAGTGAGAGTGCACACTGTGGCCTCTAGATGTGACTGAATACAGCAATGAGGCAGAGTGTGGCTTTGGGTCTGTGCACGTGAGGACTTAAGTTTTCTTGGCTACCAACGTAGCCCCCTTAACTAGGACACTGCTGGCACACGGTAGGCCCCCAATACTCACTGCATGCGTGTATTAATGAAGGAATGCTTGAATGACCTGTGTCTAGCTTTGAGATTGTAAAGATTCATGTAAAGGTCCAGATCGGCATTTACTGCCCCTTTCTGCCCCTGTCCCTAGCAATTCCAGTGGTCAGTTCGTCGGGCCAGCAGCCTTCAGCACCTTCTGGCAGCCCTGGATGCCTTCCTAGAGGAGGTGACAGTGCTTCCTCCAGGTCGGTGGGACCCGACAGCCCGGATCGCCCCACCCAAATGTCTGCCTTCCCAGCACAAAAGGTATATGGGGGTCTCCTCCACAGACCTTGGGTCCGGTTCCACTGTTGAGGAGGGGAGGGGATCCCAGGAAAGGGATACTTATCTTTGGATTCAGGGTCTGCTGGCAGAGATAAGAGCAGCCACCAGGAGGCAGCAGGCCCAGTCACGTTTTGGTTGGAGATCCTCAGGCAACCTGGGTTCCCCTTCTCTTCAGGCTCCTCTCACAACTGAGGGAGGTCAAGGGCCCATCTGCCCAGCATGGGGCCTTGGCTGAGGACAGACATGGTCACTGGCCACATGTGCCCAGCCCAGAGTTACAGCGGACAGGCAGGTGAGGTGAGCTGGGTGAGAGCAGGGGTAAGGGTCCTGGGAGGGGAGAGGGGTCACAGGGGCACAGAGGTGTATGCTCACGATGGAGGGGCTCAGCCAGTCACAGGGAAGGTAGCAGGGATAGGGGCGTGGGGTGCGGGCACTTGGGTCACTGACAAACCATGGGTGGGAGGCTGTTTGGGGGCCTTGTCCAGGATGTGCGTCGGAAGGCCTTGTGGTACACCAGTGACTTCCTGGACGCGCTGCATCCCCAGTGCTTCTCGGCTGTGCTCTACATCTACCTGGCCACCATCACTAACGCCATCACTTTTGGGGGTCTGCTGGGGGAAGCCACCGATGGTGCTCAGGTGAATCGGGAGATGTGAGGGGGGGCAGGCACAAGTTTCAGTATTCTGCTAGCTACCCCTGGGGCAAGGGGTGGGCCGTGGAGGCTCCCTGGAAGCTTGGGTGGCTGTACTGAGGACTCCGGTGTCCTGTGCTGACAGGGTCCTCCGCCGGCTTCTAGGGGGTGCTGGAAAGTTTTCTGGGCACTGCAGTGGCTGGAGCTGCTTTCTGCCTGTTGGCTGGCCAGCCCCTCACCATCCTCAGCAGCACGGGGCCAGTGCTGGTCTTTGAACGCCTGCTCTTCTCCTTCAGCAGGTAGGAGAACGCCCCCACCCTCACCAGACCCTCACTAGCTGCACTCTTGGCCTGATCCTGGCTGGGTCAAAAGGGAAGGGAGGGAACTGTCTGTTTGGCACCAGGGGTACCTAACCTGGGGTAAGTGGGGAGCAGAACATCCCTGGCAATCCCTGCCTGTCTCACTCCCCCAGAGATTACAGCTTGGACTACCTGCCTTTCCGCCTATGGGTGGGCATCTGGGTGGCCACCTTTTGTCTGGCACTAGTGGCCACAGAGGCCAGCGTGCTGGTACGCTACTTTACCCGCTTCACCGAAGAAGGCTTCTGTGCCCTCATCAGCCTCATCTTCATCTACGATGCTGTGGGCAAAATGCTGAGCTTGACCAGTGCCTATCCCATCCAGAGCCCTGGCTCTCCTGCCTACGGCTGCTTTTGCCAGTACCCAGACCTGGGAGGTGGGTGAGGGGAATACGGAGCTGGAAGAGACGGGGGAGGATGTGGGAGGGGGAGGGGATGTCCCCTTGCTGTCCCCCTTGTTAAGTTCAACAAAATCCTGAATACTTTCCCGATGACCAGCAGCACTCTTCCCCACTTTTGTTTTGAATCCATTGAGAAGTAACAGAGCAGGCCCAGTATTATCTTTTATTTTTTAAGTTTATTTATTTATTTTGAGAAATAGAGCAAGCAGGGAAGGGCAGAGAGAGAGGGAGAGGATCCCAAGCAGGATCTTCACTGTCAGCGCAGAGCCCAAGATGGTCTCAAAGTCACGAACCACGAGATCATGACCTGAGCCGAAGTCAGACACTTAACCGACTGAGCCACCCAGGTGCCCCAATATCATCTTTATTTCTGACAGTGCTGATAGAAGAACATGCTTATATCTGTGGGGAAACGGGCTTCCTAACAATGAAACCAAAATTAAATAGATTTACCCACCCAGTCATGGCTGCCCTGGACAGGGACTGTCTTGCCACAGAAGGGCAGAGCTAAGTTGCATGCACAGGGCAGGCAGCTATTCCCAAGAGCGGGGAGAGGAAGGGACAGGGAGAGGCATGCTCCATTCCTTCTCTCAAATTCACCAATCGAACAAATTGCTGTTCTTCCCTAGTCTGAGTGACTGACTGAGGGGGAGAGCAGCTCAGAGTTTTACACTTGCACATACCCCTGCACAAGGAAGCAGCAGGAATGGGGAAGAGATATCCTCTCAAGAGCGCCAGACTCTGTGTTAGGCATGAGCAAAACCAGTTCTGGTCCTGATAGAAACCCACAGATTGGTGTGCTCATCTTTTAAGCAAACATTTGCTAGGCATCTGCTCTGGCTGGTCCTATGCCGGGCACCAGGGATACAGAGACGTAAGGAATTGGTAGGGACTGGGAGATGTCCTGAGGAGCACAGCATTTAGGGTCAGAAGACAGATGAGTCAGAACTAAGAACTTTCTGGCTCAGTTGGATCCATGAGATCAGGCTCCTGAGGGGCTGGAGAAGCTTTCCAGAGGAGGCACATATACCCAAATTGTTCTCTGCTTCCCAGGAAATGAGTCTCAGTGGAAGGAGACAGAACCAAAAGACAGAGATGACATCTCAAGCATGGTGAGGGCCAGTTCCTGGGAGAGTCCTGGGAAAGACATGGTGGAAGCCAAAGAAGTCAGTGGTTCCTGGCTTTTCCCTCCCCACAGGCTAGGGAAACCATTACAGTTCACAGAGGCCCAGACATTTGCTGTGGCTGGAGACCTCCTATCCTGGGCCCTTGGTGTCTCAGTGAGCGTCAGTCAATGTTTATTCTGCCACCCATAACCCCATACCTGAACACCCCTCCATACAGGACCTAGGCCTGGTCAATGCCTCCTTGCTGCCCCCACCTGAGTGTGCCCGACGGGGAGGCCACCCTCGTGGTCCCGGCTGTCATATAGTCCCAGACATCGCCTTCTTCTCTGTCCTCCTCTTCCTTACTTCTTTCCTCATAGCCACGGCCCTCAAGCATGTAAAGACAAGCCGCTTCTTCCCCTCTGTGGTGAGTGTTACCTCTGTCTGTGGGAGAGTACTGCCTCTTGGCCTTGGGCCCTGTCTGTGAATGGGAAAGGGTAAAGAGGGAGGGGGCTGGCAGGCCTGAACCTGACCAAGTGTCCACTGTGTGGCCAGGTGCGCAAAGTGCTCGGTGACTTCTCCTCAGTCCTGGCCATGCTGCTGGGCTGTGGCCTCGATTCCTTCCTGGGTCTAGCCACACCAAAGCTCATGGTGCCCAGCGAGTTCAAGGTGAGAGCTGGGAGTGTAGAACAGAGGGGAGAGCAGGGCCAGCCGACAGGACTTTGGAGGAGGAAGATGAATGGATACCATGCTTTTCTTCCTCTGAGCTTCCATTTCCTTGCTCATAAAATACAAATAGTAATAATAATGACCTCACGGAGTTGTTGTGAGGATTAATGAGGTGTTGCTGCCAACACAGTGGGTACAGAAAACATGGGAGTTATTATTATAAATTAGGGGTTAAGAGTTTGGGTTCTAGTCAGCCAGCCCTGGGCTCGAGATCCAGTTCTGCCACTTCCTAGCTGTGTGACCTTAGGCAAGCCAACCCACATTTCTCATCAATGAGCCTCAATTTATTTACCAGTAAAATGGAAATAATAACAATAGCTGCTACTCTATAAGTTGTTCTAAGGTTCACAGAAGATGAGTGTAAGTCACTCATCTGGCACATACGAAGATCTCAAAAAATGTTACTTATTGTTGTCATAGGTTGGCCCTACCCACCCTACTACTCCGCACTGTCTTCTTTGCACCCCTGTTTGCCGGCTCTGATCTGCTAAAGCTGGAGCTCCCTCCCAAGGGCACGGCAGTGCACAGGACAAGGCTTAGCACGGACTTAGCACCTAGACTTTGCCTGTGCATTTGGAGACCTCCTCTCCAGCTTCCCCCAGGACAGGAGAGCAGGGAGACTCCACCTGGGGTAGCCTCAGGGGCTCAGAATCTGAGATGGCAACTGGGGTCCCCTCCCCGACACAGACGCTTATAATCAGAGCAGACGCAGACACACCCAGACCTGCCCTGGCCCCAGATCAAGGCAGGTTTGAGCCTGAGTCGCCCCACCCTGGTTGTAGGGGGCGGGGGGTGCCTAGGGAGGAGGGCTCTGTACATCAAGAAACGTGGGCAGGCCTCACCCACCATCTCCTCCTCTTGCAGGGAGGGAGGGCACCTGAGAACCAAAATCCAGAGCCCCTGGCTCCAGCCCAACTCCCAGGCTGGTTCCCCTCCTTCTGCCCTCTTTTAAGGCACTGGAATGCTTTCAACCAGTTGTACATGCACACGTACTGCTCCCACCTACCACCCAGGGTCTTGGAACTGGGGTAAGGGGGTTGGGGGTTATGGAGGAATGCCAAAGCCGGGGTGTGCAGGTGAGGTGCTCTTGGGAGGCCTTCTCTAACTTGTCCACGGAATGCCCTCTCCCAGCCCACACTCCCTGGGCGCGGATGGCTGGTGTCACCTTTTGGAGCCAACCCCTGGTGGCTGAGTGTGGCAGCCGCCCTCCCTGCTCTGCTGCTGTCTATCCTCATCTTCATGGACCAGCAGATCACAGCAGTCATCCTCAACCGTGCCGAATATAAACTGCGGGTAAGACCTGCTGGGTAGGCCCAGAGGCCCCTAGACCAAGGTACAGAAACTCCAGGGTGGGGTCCAGGCCCTCCCTCTCCCACTCCAGAGGACAGAGAGCCCAGATCTGGCTTAGTTTCATCCTCGATGCTCCACCACTACCTGCAGAAGGGAGCTGGCTTCCACCTGGACCTCTTCTGTGTGGCTGTGCTGCTGCTGCTCACTTCGGTGCTTGGGCTGCCCTGGTATGTCTCAGCCACAGTCATCTCCCTGGCCCATATGGACAGTCTTCGGAGAGAGAGCACAGCTTGTGTCCTGGGGGAACCCCGCAGCTTCCTGGGCATCAGGTGAGGCCAATATTGAGGAGGCCAGAGTGAGAGATCCATCCGTAAGGTGGTGTAGGAGAGTACAAGGCAGAGTGATTTGGACAGCTTAAATTCTAAGCCTCCAGGGGGCTCTCTCACTACTCCATAAGCACTGCAGTGGGGTGAATGGGTGGGTTCCGGGCTGAGATGGGCGTGTCAGGTCTTCCCTCTTCTTCTTGGCCATGGGTGTGGGAGGGCCCGTGGGAGGAGCCTCATGGACACAAAGGCCCGAGGCGGCCAGGGCCAAGGGAGGGTGAGGTGCCACCTAACAACCCAATCCCCCGTCCCCGCCCCCCCACAAGGTAGGAGTGCCTCACTGATGTTACAAAGTTACTGTGACAAAAACAATTTTCTAACCTGTTGGAAATAAATCCGTGGAAAGTTTGTGAAATCAACTTTGAAACTGTGAAATGAAAGTTTTTATGGCAGTGTAAAAATCGCTAACGTTGCACCAAAATAAAAAATAAAAACAAAGAGCAACTATGAGCTTGAGCTGATGGAGAGGCCTGGAACATCCCAGCTCAAGTGCCCTGCCCCTTCCTTTCCACCAATTTTGTACATGATGCTAAGGCCCCCTCCCTGCCAGGCTACTATTGGGAGGGTGGGGGGGAAAGGGCTCTCTCCACTTCCCTCCTGCCAGTGCCTATAGTGGCGTCTGGTCAGCATCTCCAAGCCACGCACCCTGGGGGCTCTCCCAGCCCCTAGCTAACTCTTCCCTCACCCCACAGGGAGCAGAGGCTGACAGGCCTGGTGGTGTTCATCCTCACAGGAGCCTCCATCTTCCTGGCACCTGTACTGAAGGTACCTTTGTTAGGCTGGCATCAGGGGCAGGGCAGTAATAATAACAAATACAGCAAGAACTGACACTGGCTAAATACTTACTGTGCACTAGACACCGTGTTAAGTTTTCTCCACACTTGGTCTCATTTGATCCTCACGTGAACCCTGAGAGACATTCATACTTTACCAATGAGCAAACTGAAGCTTGTTTGTTTTGAGAGAGAGAGAGAGAGAGAGAGAGAGAGAGAGAGAGAGAATCTTAAGCAGGCTCCACGCCCAGCTCAGAGTGCAACACAGGGCTGGATGCTGGATCTGACAAGCGTGAGATCACAACCTGGGTGGAAATCAAGAGTTGGACGCTTAACCAACTAAGCCACCCAGGTGCCCCAAGGAAAATGAAGTTTAAAGAGATTAAGTAGCTTACAAAAGGCCACCAAAAGAGCTAGTTTCTCAGATCTGAGAATCCAAACTCTTACCTGGTGGGTTTTCTACCCAGTGGAGCCAGGTATGGGCACGCTACCATCCCCTATGGGCCAAGAGGTATGGCAGTCTTGCTCCAGCCTGCCAACAAACCTTAGACTAACAGTGTGATCATCACATCCCAGGAAAACCTTGAGACAAAACCCCTTCACTTCTCCCTTACCAGATGTTTATAGAACACCTGCCATGTGCAAGGCTCTGCTAGGCACTTGGGAGAAGTGGCAGGGAGGAAGGGGAGACAGGAGTATTGAAAAGAGATATGGAGCCAAGCCCCTATCAGCAACATACGCACATGAACAAAAATTAAGTAATAAGTAATCGTAGAAAGGTTCCAACAAGCTAAGGCGAGGACACAGAGAATGGTATACAAGAGTCACCAGGGAGGAAAGGTTTGGGGAGGGAAAGGTCATGGAGGCTGGGTGAGAGTAGAGTAGTTGAAAGAGCCAGATAGACTGGATTGGCTGCTTGCTAACTAGGTGACTCTCATTCAGCAGATATTTACTGAGCATAAACCATATGCTAGGCACTGTTCCAAAGACTGAGGATATAGTGGTGATCAAAAGAGACCATCCACTGCTTGAAGTCTGGTGAGAAGAGACAGAAAAAAAAAATTAAAACAATAAAACAGGAAAATTTCAAATAGTGAATACTTCTAATGAAAAATATAAGAGCATAAGGTGATTAAGAGTGCCAGGGGTCTACTTTAGATTGAAAGGTGTCAAGACACCCCACCACTTCTGGGGTATCAAGAGATGAGCAGTGAGAAGCCTGAGTAGCGAGAAGGAAGTCAAGGAAGAACATTTTAGGTAGAGGGAAATAGCAAAGCAAAGCAAAGGCCTTGCAAAGGATAGAAATAAACCTCGGCATATTGAGAGAAGGAAAGGAAGCCATATAGCAGGAACAGAGGGAGCGAAGAAGAAAGTGATAGATAAGATAGGAGAAGTAGGCCAGGTAGTGGACAAGTTAACTTAATCTCTCTGAAACCCATTTCCCCCTTTTGTGAAATGGAAATTATAAAATTTACCTCATCTGACCATCTTGAAGCTTCAGTATCAGGCATGCAAAGTGGGAAAGGAAGAGAAAGACCTGGGTCAACTTAGGTGTGGATGCTGGAGGCTGGAGTTGGAGCCTAAGGCTGGGGTGGGGGTGGAGGTGAGGGAGTGTGGGTCTGGGCAGCTAGCAGAAGTGAACTCCTTTGCCAGCTCTCTACTTTTTTTCTACCAGTTCATCCCGATGCCTGTGCTCTATGGAATCTTCCTGTACATGGGAGTGGCAGCGATTAGCAGCATCCAGGTGGGCCCATTAGAATCACCAAGCAGTCTCACTCCTCCTCTTCTTTCCTGCTGGTGCCTTCTGCTTATACTTGCCAAGTCCTCTCCTCTCCTCTTCCTGTCTCTCCTGGGCTCAGGAACTCTGATGCCAGGCTCTGAATGGGGAGGGCGCCAAGGGAGCCTTCTGACTTCCCGCTCACGCTGGACTTGGACAGCTAACAGTGACACCCTCCAGGCTGAACACCCTGCTCTCCTCCTCCTCTTATTCCCCTAGTTCACAAAGAGGGTACAGCTATTATTGATGCCAGCAAAACACCAGCCAGACCTCCTCCTCTTGAGACATGTGCCTCTGAGCAGGGTCCACCTCTTCACAGCTATCCAGCTTGCCTGCCTGGGTCTGCTTTGGATAATCAAATCTACTCCTGCAGCCATCATCTTCCCCCTCATGGTAACTTGGGGCAAGGTTGGGTAATGTCCTGGGGGTCCTGGGAGACTCTGAGCCTGGGAGGGTGGCCAAAGCCTACACAGGAGGAAGACATTCCCCTCTCACTTGCCCTAGCTCTGGTTGGGAGTTTTAGGACAAAGAAAGATGGCCGAGAGATGCCTACGGATAGGTTAGTCTTGGGATACCTGATTCAACTCCATTTTTCTAACCTCTTTGGGCTGATCAACCACAAGCAGGAATATAAAGTCCAAAAGAAAACTGAGGTCCTGGGAGAGGCAATACAGGCACTTTTATTACTCAGTGAGGTGATAACACAGGTGGTTTCTGGCCTTATTCTTACGCTCTGAGGAAGTTAAGAGCCATAGGCTTTGTAGTAGGACCAACCACATCCCAGCTATGTGACTTCTGAGAAGTTTCTAAACTCTCAAGGCGTCAGTTTCTTTCTCTATACAATGGGAACAATTATATCTACCTCGTAGGAATGTGTTAGCATTAAGTGAAACAATACACAGTGTCTAGTACATAGGAAGTGCTCAACGAATGTTACTGTAGTTCATGTTTCTGCTGCTGTTGCTGACAGCTCTGGGTTTTGTTTGCATCCCTGCAGTTGCTGGGCCTGGTGGGGGTCCGAAAGGCACTGGAGTGGGTCTTCTCACCACAGGAACTCCTTTGGCTGGACGAGCTGATGCCAGAGAAGGAAAGGAACATCCCTGAGAAGGGACTGGAGCCAGAGTACTCACTTAGTGGTGACACTGAAGATGTAAGCTGCAGGATGGGCCCTCTCAGGAGAAGGGGGCAGGAGTGGGGAAGACCTTCTTGACCAGGAATTATCCCTAAAGTCTAATATTTCTATTAAGCCTGAACACAATCACTCCCCTTAGCTCCTCACTGACACAGGTACACCAAAGGGGTGAGGGAAATCTTTCTTTATAGGGCCAAGGGCCCTAGTTTATCAACCCATGGGATTGGAAAGGTCTGATGACAATTTGGTGGGCTTTTTCTTTTTTTTTTTTAATTTTTTTTTTCAACTTTTTTTATTTATTTTGGGACAGAGAGAGAGCATGAATGGGGGAGGGGCAGAGAGAGAGGGAGACACAGAATCGGAAACAGGCTCCAGGCTCCGAGCCATCAGCCCAGAGCCTGACGCGGGGCTCGAACTCACGGACCGCGAGATCGTGACCTGGCTGAAGTCGGACGCTTAACCGACTGCGCCACCCAGGCGCCCCTTGGTGGGCTTTTTCAACCTTGATCTTTGTCTCAGTGTGGGTTTATATCCTTTCACTTTCTGGGTCCCTTTCTCTCTGCTCTGTCTCTGCCTATTCCCAACTCATCTTGGGATCTTTCTTCCACAGTCAGAGCTGATGTATCAGCCAAGGGCTCCAGAAATCAACATCTCTGTGAATTAGCTGGAGTAGGAGGAATTTGGGAGTAGAGACTCCAGGAAACTGAGCATGAGGTGAGGATGTGAGGGAAGTGCCCCTGGAGTCAGGGATGGGGAAGTGTGCGCTCAGACCTTGGAAACTTCCAGTGTGCTGACTAGCCTGTTTTGCCTTCATGTTCCAGTCCTTCATGAACCCCAAAGTAGAGGAGGGAATAGAATGGTCTCCCCAGAGGGAAGAATGAAATAAGCCAGGGTACCTGGGCTTGGCTCCCTGCGGCACTGAAGTCTGGCCAGTAGAGGGAGCTGAAGCTCACACCAAATTAGATGTAGAGATGGGGCCCCCCCCCCCCCCCCGGTGGGAGGAAGGGGTAAGATGATGAAAGAATGTAGGGAACCGGGGAGGAGATGAAAGGAAGATAAATGTCCCTGCTGCTTTCCTTCGCCCTGGAGGCCACTTCCTTAGGCTGCTGAGAACCACACTCCAGACAAGTGGAGGGATTCGGTCACTTGCCCACTTTGCCATTCCTTCAATTTTTATTCCTCCACTTATGAAAACATTTTATGAATACTGTACTTAAGGAGTATTTAGATACTAGAGAGACAGGGGTAAGATAATCATGGTCCCTAACTTCATCAGTTTAAATTCCACTGGGAAAGACCAACAGGCAATTGTTGGAGTGGGATAGAGGTGGCTAAGGGAAGCACCAGCTGTGGGAGCAGAGAGAGCACCTTCTTGGAGGGTGGCGAAGGTGGGGTGGTGGGAGTTGGAGAAAAGGAAGGGGTGCATAACTTGAAATTTGAAGAATGAATAAACACTGTGCAGGATAAGATGGAGGGACATGTTCTAGGCCGAGGGTGCGGCATGTGCAAAAGCCTGGTGTTTTTCCCCTGTGATAAGCTGAATTTCTGGGGTCATAGAACCCGCTTCTATCCATGCTTTTCCAAGCTCTAGAGTACAATAAGCCCCACCATTTGCAATGGAAAATTCTAGAGGCCAGAGGGAGAAAGGGCAATTCAGTGGCAAGCCCAGAATAAGATCCAATTTTTCCTTATCCCCTACCAACTCCTTTGCCTTGTTCTTTGCCCTACTGTGCCCCTGAGCACTTGCTCTGACTCAACTATGTCTTCTCTTCGTTCACAGGTGTTTACTCAGGAAGTTAGGACATTGTTGGTTTTTGGCTTAACAGCCAGATGTTCAGTCGTCTGGGAACAATGGGGCAGGACTGGAGGGCAGCTGGCCAAGACTTGTATTGCCCTCTTGAGCAGGAGGTAGAGAGTGGCAGGGAACAAGCAGGTCTGCTGGTAAGCCCTGATGACTGACTAGGCCCTATTCACTCTCTATCCCATTAAAGGGACCTGGAAGCCCTTCCTATTTTAAACTTTCTGCCCTTACAAATTCTTCTTTACAGAATTGGGGGTCTTCAGCAAACTTTCTTCAGTTTGCAAAAGGGGAAAGAAAACTTTCCAGAAAAATTATTTCTCTATTTAAAACAGTTTTCTATACATAAAAAAAAAAAACTTTACTGATTTTTGACCACAAAAGTAAATGAGGTTATTGAAAATATCAAAACATCAAAGACACATATAATTTTGAAATGAAAACCATGCCAGTGATAACCAGTGTTCACATTTTAGTGTATATTGTTCAGATTTATTTCAAGGGACAAGTTAATATTTTTATTAAAATGGGATTATACTCTTGAGTTCTACATGTTTGTCACTTAATGTGAGTTGAATATGTTCCCCTGTTGGTACATACATTCTTTATCTACCTCATTCTTTTTGTAATCTGCATAGAATGAATAACCTTATAATCTGAAAAAGGTATCATATACACAAGGTATCATATACGCAAGTACAAGAATTTCTTCAGAGTATATACCTAGGAGTGAAATTAAAGAGTAATGATAGAGCACTTGTGTATGTCAGTTCATCTGTGAATTTTAAAGTTAAAAATTATATTTAATCTAGCATCTAGCATTTTAGTTGTTTTAGTCAGGAAGGCTATTCAAAAAGTTTAATCTATACAAGGCCAGAAGTGGAAATTCTTTTTTCTATAATGTTTTATTTTTAAGTAAATTCTCCCCCCAATTTGGGGCTCAAACTCACAACCCCAAGATCAAGAGTTGCACATTCCACCATGAACCAGCCAGGTGCCCCAGAAGTGGAAATTTTGAAGGCTCTTTTTAGTGCCTTTTTTTTTTTAAAGATGTTGTTTTTTTATTTTTTATTTTTTTATTTTTGAGAGAGCAAGAGTACCCAAGTGAGTGAGGGGGGGGGGAGGGGGAGAGAGAGAGAGAGAGAGAGAGAGAGAGAAGTGGGTCTCACCTGGTGGGGCTTGAGTTCACCCATGTGGGACTTGAACTCACTAACGGTGAAATCATGACCTGAGTCAAAGTGAGATGTATAATGACTGAACCACACAGGTGCCCGGCTCTTCTAAATGTTTTTTTAAAAAGGCTCCTAACATTACAGCCTGAGTACCTATTGATTGAGAGAAATATATACCAAAAGTATAATTTAAACTTAGATAGTTATGTATTTTACTCATTTCAGCAGCATCTACATAATGTTGAAAACATCTTTATTTAGACTTATTTAAACATTCAACAAATACTTATTGAACATCAGCAATGTCTTGTCAGATAAAATTTCTAACATCATGGAGTTTATACTGAAAGACAGAAATAACAAACAAAAAATAACATTATCTGGGATAATGACAAGTACACTGAAGAAAATCAGTAATATGATAGGGACTGGGAGAAGTTTACTAGAGATGGATGCTCAAGGGAGGCCTCTCTGAGCAGGTGATCTTTAAGCTGGCACCTGCATGACAAGGAACCAACTAAATTATCATCTGCCTGCAGCCAAGACATGGTAAACAGAGACATGAATTTAAGTGTCCTACAGTCCCCAGATTGGGAACCACTGTCATAAGGGGAAGACTATGAGGTGAGCTCTGGCTTCAGATGTAGCCCTTAGCTTGCTCAGTCCAGGCCATGTGAGCCTGAAACATTCCTTTCCTGGCTCTAACCCACACTCTTCAGTTTTCTGTCAGTAAAATCGGGCCACAGTCCTGATTCTAGGGTGCTATAAGGGTTAATTGATGCCTATAACATTTTTAAGATGTTTAGATGAAAAACTCAGGGCTGTATGGAGGGTTATTAGAGCCTCCCTAGCCCCAGGGAAAATCTCTCCATATCAGTAACATAGGTCCTCTCTTCTCTAGTCTGTAGCTGTGGGACAATGACTTTCACACTTTTGTGGGTATTAGGTTGTTATAATGTGAATTCCTTGGGCTCTTGGCCTGAGGTTCTGATTTTCCCTGAGGTTCTGTGTCCTTCTGTCCCCTTGTCCAGGACCTCATGTTTCCCAACACTCTAGATTTCTGTCTTTGCAAATGGACCAGAGTATGTACTTGTCCATATATACTGTGGTCAGAGACATCTTAGGTCATTTTTCCTAAGAGCAATCAAGAGGAGACATTGGGGAAGGCAGGAATGTGTCTGTATCTACTTCTCAAATGTAGACCGATATTAGGAGGAGGATTAGGAGAAACCTTTGAATAAGAAGGGAGGAATTGCCGACTGGTCGAAAATGAGAAAAGAAGGTGAGTACAAGGAAAATAATCCTGGTGTGAGGCCAGTTCACTGCTTCTTACCTCTTCTCCTGGTGCTGAATTCTACTATAGGAGCTGTCCAGGAGTTGACAACAAATTCCTTCAACAAATACATATATATTAAATGTCTATTATATGCCAGGCAATGTAGTCTATTGTATTACTAGGTGTAGGAATTCAATGTGAAACAAGATCTCTGCTTTCCTGGAGCTTCCATTCTAGTAGGGGGAGGCAGCAAATAAATAAATACAATGATATATATGTAAGACTATTTCAGACAGTGGTAAGTACAATAATACAAGATAACATAATAAAGAGGGAGAGTTTGGCAAGTGACTGTCTTAGATTGGGGGTTAGTAAGGGCCTCTCTGAGAAGATAACATTTGAGCAGAGACCCGAATGACAAGAAGTCAGCCTTGGGAATAGGGGAGAGGGAGTGGAGGGAAAGAAAGCATTTTTTGGCCAAGGTAATATCAGTGTAAAGGCCCTCAGGCAGGAAGAGCTTCAGAATGTTTGAGAAGGCCCACAGAGCTAGAGTGGAGGATTGAGGGAGAGAACAGGGGAAGGTGAGGTTGGAAAAGATGAGGATCAGTGTGGTAGGCTACATAATGAATACTTTGAAAGAGGCAATATGGATGAGGCCTTGTCCCTTTGGGTAAGAATAGTAGAGGCCAACCTAGAACAGCCAAAACAATCTTGAAAATGAAGAACCAAGTTATAGGACTCACAACCTCTGATATTCAAAATTACTTCAAAGCTCCTATAATCAAGACAGTGTGGTACTTGCATAAGGAAATACATACAGGATTGACAGTCTAGGAACACATACTCACACTTACGGTCAATTGATTTTTGATGAGAATGCCAAGACAACTCAATGGTGAAAAAAATAGTCTTTTCAACAAATGGTTCTGGGAAAACTGGATATCTCCATGCAGAAGAAAGAAGTTGGATGCCTGCCTCATACCATATGCAATAATTAACTCAAAATGCATCAAAAACTTAAATATAAGAGCTAAAACCATCTCTTCTTAGAAGAAAATAAGCCTTAATCCTCATGACCTTGGACTTGGCAATGGTTTCTTAGAATGATACCAAAACACAAGGAACAAAATAAAAAAATAAATTAGACCTCATTAAAATTTTAAAACTTCTATCCTCCAAATGGCACTATCTAGAAAGTGAAAACAACCAGCAGAATGGGAGAAAATACATGTAATTATACATCTGATAAGGGACTTGTATCTAGAATATATTAAGAACTCTTACAACTCAATAACAAGAAGACAAATAACTCAATTTAAAAATAGGCAAGGGAAGGGGCACCTGGGGAGGCTCGGTGGTTGAGTGTCAGACTCTTGATTTCGGCTCAGGTCATGATCCCAGGGTCATGGGATTGAGCCCTGTGTAAGGTTCCATACTGAGCATGGAGCCTGCTTAGGATTCTCTTTCTCTCCTTCACTGGCGCATGCTCTCTCTCTAAAAAAACAAACAAACAAACAAAAAAAAAAACCCAAAAACAAAACAAAGCAAAAACAAAAACAAAGGAAGGGGCATCTGGCTGGCTTAATCAGTGGATCATGCGACTTTTGATCTTAGGGTGGTGAGTTTGAGCCCCACATTAGGTGAAGCACTTACTAAAAAAAAAAAAAAAAAAAAATAGACAAGGCCTCCAAATAAACATTTATCTAAAGAATATATAATAATGGGAGGACCTGGCTGGCTTAGTCAGAGGAGTGGGATCACTTGACCTTGTGGTCATGAGTTTGACCCCATGTTGGGTATAGAGATTACTTGTTTTTTTTTCAACGTTTATTTATTTTTGGGACAGAGAGAGACAGAGCATGAACGGGGGAGGGGCAGAGAGAGAGAGGGAGACACAGAACCAGAAACAGGCTCCAGGCTCTGAACCATCAGCCCAGAGCCCGACGCGGGGCTCGAACCCACGGACCGCGAGATCGTGACCTGGCTGAAGTCGGACGCTTAACCGACTGCGCCACCCAGGCGCCCCTAGAGATTACTTTAAAACAAATAAACAAACAAACAAACGAACAAACTAGGGGTGCCTGGGTGACTCAGTCAGTTGAGTGTCTGACTTCGCCTCAGGTAATGATCTCATAGTTTCTGAGTTCAAGCCCCACATTGGGCTGGCAGCTGTCAGCACAGATCCTGCTTCAGATCCTCTGTCCCCATGTCTCTCTGTCCCTCCTCTGCTTGCGTTCTCTCTCAAAAATGAATAAACATATATAAAAATAAATAAGTAAATAAACTTAAAAAATAAAGAAGATATACAAATGGACAATAAGCACATGAAAAGATGCTCAACATCATTAGCCATTAGGAAAATGTAAATCAAAATCACAATGAGATACTGTTCACACACATTAGGATGGCTATAAATAACAAGTATTGGTGAGGATGCAGAGAAGTTGGAACCCTCACACATCACTGGTGGGAATGTAAAATGATGCAGCAGCCCTGAAAATAGTTTGTGTCCTTCTAAAAGTTAAATATAGAATCATCATATGATCTAGCAATCCCACTCCTAGATATATACCCAAAAGATTTAAAAGCAGGGACGCAAACAGATACTTTGTACCAATGTTCATAGCAGCATTATTCAAATAGTCAAAAGGTGAAAACAACTCTGATGACTCAACAATGCAAAGTGATGAATAAACAAAATGTGTTATATCCATACAGTGGAATATAATTCAGCAATAAAATGTAATGAAACACTGATACATGCTACAACATTGATGAACTTTGAAAACATCATTCTAAGTGAAAGAAACTAGTCACAAAGGACTACATATTGTATGATTCCATTTATGTTAACTATCCAGAATAGACATATCCATAAAGATAGAAATTAGACTATTGGTTGCCAAAGGTTTGGCACCTGGGAGGGAAGGGGTGGGGAGGTTAAAGGTAATGGCTAAGGAGTATAGGACTTATTTTTAGGGCTGATGAAAATGTTCCAGAATAGATGTGATGGTTGTACAACTCTGTGAATACAATAAGAGCCACAAAATTAGGTGGTCTGTAAATTATATTTCAATAAATCTATTTAAAAAAATAAAAAGAAGGGCGCCTGGGTGCCTCAACTGGTTAAGCATCTGACTTTGGCTGAGGTCATGATCTCGTGGTTCATGAGTTTGAGCCCTACGTAGGGCTCTGGGCTGACAGCTCAGAGCCTGGAGCCTGCTTTGGATTTTGTGTCTCTCTCACCCTCTACCCCTCCCCTGCTCACGCTCTGTGTCTCTCTCAAAAATAAATAAACATTAAAAATAAAAAAAATAATAAAAAGAATGGTAGGGGCCAGAGCCTGGTATCTAATTAGCAGGGTCACAACAGGGAGGCTGAAAACCTCTAGGGCCTCCAAGACCAAAGGAATTACCACTGCTGGGCAAGAACTGGGGGAATTCTCCAATACTGACTCCAGGAACCTAACAGTTAAGTGAACCCAAGGGAAGAACCACAGCCTTGGGAGATTTCTCCAGGTTGTTTTTAGAGACCTGTGTTTGTTCATCTCCTGCGAATATATCCGTGTCCAAAGGGGAAAATGTATAATGATGCAAACTAGAGCTGTGCTCTCTTTCTAGATCCTCTGCTCTTCTCAATGATAATATATTAATGTCAGAGTCCTTAGCTCCAGCCTGACCTATCTTCTCTTTATTAATAACCACAGGATCATAGAGCTGGAAGATCATCTCCTCTTAAAGATGCAGAACTGAGGGTTCAGAGGAGAGTTACCTGCTTGATCACACAGCCAGTAAACAGCATAGAGGGGACCCAAATTACGGTGAAACACCTTACCCCTAAATTCCCCATCCTAGTGACCAAATCCCTAATGAATCAGTAATAGCCTAAGGAAGGACAGCTGTCAGGCCAAGGGGAAGGGATGGATGGTAGGAGAGCAAGGGAGAGGTGCGGGTGGATGTGGAGGTGGAAGGTGACATATGTGGCAAAGTAGTTGTTATTATGCTGCTTTACGTTTTTTTTCTCTTTAAGTTTGATTTCTTTCCATATTTGTCTATTCTTTTTAAAAAAATTTTTTTAACGTTTATTTATTTTTGAGACAGAGAGAGACAGAGCATGAATGGGGGAGTGGCACAGAGAGAGGGAGACACAGAATCGGAAGCAGGCTCCAGGCTCTGAGCTGTCAGCCCAGAGCCTGACGCGAGGCTCGAACTCACGGACCGCGAGATCGTGACCTAAGCTGAAGTCGGATGTTTAACCGACTGAGCCACCCAGGCGCCCCGTCCGTGTTTGTCTATTCTAATTAACCATATGGGGCTGTGGCCTGGAAGAATTGTTGGTTCTTAAAACTCATTGAAGGGCTTAGGTCATTTTAAGAAATGGGCCAGCACAGGAGGAAGGAAATACAAGTATCACTGTTCTAGGAGATGTCCCTGGCTCCTCCCAGTTCCTGCTATTGAGCCCAAGTGGGCCAGTTGTGGCCCCTTACAGCTTGTCCCTACCATTTAACTTCAGGTTTTCTAAATAAACTCCTCATGGCTGGGAAGGTCCCTGTCGTCTGCCCTATCTAGTCTCTCCCTTCACCCTATGCAGACAAAGTTTTATCTGGAGACTTTGAAAGAGAGAGAAGCAGGGAAAGGAGTATATTTTCCCTTTCATAGATTCACATCAGAGATGCCCAGAGCACATTCAGAGCTCTTGCTCCCAAGCTTTGACTGCTGAGTTAAAGACGAGAGTTGGCTGAGTAAGGAAAGACTGAAAACCCAGCAGAGACTTCATAGATCATCTCCTCCATCCTTCTGCCTCCACTGCAACTGCTATATAGTACTGCAGCAGTCCTGAAACTTTCTGGTTTCATAACCCCTGTACACTCTTAAAAATTATTAAAGACCTACAGTTCTTTTATTTATTATTAAAGACCCAAAGACCTCTTGTTTCTTTATTTTTTTAATGTTTATAATATTGATTGTACTTTTTTTTTTAAGAGAAAGAGAGAGTGTGTGAGCAGGGGAGGGGGCAGAGAGAGAGGGAAAAGAGAATCTTAAGCAGGCTCCACATTCAGCGTGGAGCCCCACCCAGGTCTCGATCCCATGACCCTGGGATCATGACCTGAGCTGA